TTTAAAAAAAAAAAAAAAAGTTGAGATTACCTGGAAATGTTAATTTTCATGGTCTGTTTTTAGTTGAATATCTAAGTTTATGAGTTGAGCACATGATAGTATTTCTGATTTAATGTATGCCCTTCAAAATAATGAATTTATGGAATGAAATAAGAACTGAAAGGAAATGTAATATGAAATGAATTTCAGAAGGATAGGCTTGACTTGAGTGCCTTCATTTTTTTCCTAATGTGTTTAATTATTTAGAGCCATGAATGTTCAAAGCATTTTTTTCTTTATTAGCTGAAAGCTGTTCATCAACAGCTACAGGTTCTCTCCCAAGTCCCTCTCCGTAAGCTAAAGACAAAGAATAAGTCTAAAAGGGAAAAGAAGAAAGAAAAGGCTAATAACAGAGATGAAAATCCAAGAAAAAAGTTTAAGCAAGTGAAATTAAAGGGAAAGTCCAAAAACAAGTAAGTATCTTTTATAATACCTTATTCATATAATAATATTATCTAACATAAATTTGACTAAATTTAATTTTTGTTCAGTCAGCCAAAGAAGAGGAAACAACAGGTGTTTGCTCTGAAACCTGAAGTTGAGGGTAATGCTAAGCCTATGAACTATGATGAGAAAAGGCAGCTAAGCTTGGATATAAACAAACTCCCTGGAGAAAAACTTGGGCGAGTCGTTCATATAATACATTCAAGAGAGCCATCTCTGAGAAATTCCAACCCTGACGAGATAGAGATAGACTTTGAAACACTGAAAGCATCAACACTGAGAGAACTGGAAAAGTATGTTGCCGCATGTCTACGAAAAAGACCGCTAAAACCTCATGGTACGTATTTCTCACAGTAGAAATCAGTCTGCTATTTGCGTTAGTTTTTGGTAATACTTCTTTCCCTCTTAAATCACATAGGTAAGAAAATAACAAAGTCCAAAGAAGAATTTCATTCACAGAAAAAACAGGAGTTGGAAAAGCGGTTACTAGATGTCAATAATCAATTAAATTCTAGAAAATGTCAAACAAAACGTAGGTGGCATTTTTTATGTGTTTTGTTTGTTCGGTTTTTCTTTTTTTTTTTTTAATGTTCCTGTGCTTATTGAATTCTACGGGCAGTGTAATGTGCTTCCCCGTTTTGTAGCTGAGAAAGCGCAGCCCCCCCCGGCTGTGGGAAGTGGTTCCCGGCTGAGCGAGAGCAGCAGCGGCAGCAGCGGCAGCAGCAGCAGCTCCTCAGAGACCGAGAGCAGTAGCAGCGATTCAGGCTCGTCCGGCAGCAGTGATTCCGAATCAGGTTAGCTGTCCCCTTAAGTCTACCTCTGTTGGCGGGAACATTTTTTTCTTGTATTATTGAGACTTCTGTTTTTTAAGAAATGTTTGTCACTTACCCAGAACCTATGGTTTGGATGCCATGCTTATTATTTAATTGCATGTTGACAGTCTTACTATTTTCTTTAAAAGAGATACTGTGTAAAATGAAACTTCATATTATATGTATAAGACTTACAGGTTTGTAATGTTGAGAAGTTTACTAAAGGTGGGAGATCGTTTCTTAATATATAATACCACATCTTAATACGAGAAAATAACAAATAATAAAATTCCGATCTTCACTTCTTTTTATAAAATTTAAAAAATATTTGAGGACATCTTTCACTTTACTCTCCATGATCTGTCAGACCAACTCTAGTGTTGCAAAGTATGTCCTATTGCGACGATACATTCTAAATTGAATAATCACTTGGAATTAAAAAACCAGTCATCCCAGAAAATGTTTAAAGCAGAATTTTATTCACTTTTGTTTTCTTCACTATAGAATATTATTTTCCATTTCTAGAAAAATGTACTTCAAATTGAGATTTTCAGTTATGCTAAAGTACCATATTACCTTGGGTAGTTTAGCATCAACTGTATCAAGCTTAATTCAGTCATGTTTTCTTTGTGCTCTTTCATTGATGGTTATGTAGTTAACAAGTAATCACTGCCCCAAGGATACTGACTTGGCAGTGGCATCCCACTATTGTCCACCAAAAGGCACATTCAGAATATCGGGCACTTTTGTGCCTAAAATTTTGCTTTATTTTAAATTAGATGTTTTCTGTTTGTCATGAAATTTAGTTCTCTTTTAAAAAAATATCCTGCACAGAATATTGTCAAATCAGTGATTCTTACCATTTGTAAGAATATCCCTCTTATTTCAGTCTGGTAGTAAGGGTCTGCTGGCTTGCAGTACATTCTGTTTCACTTTTGGTTCTGTTTAGTTTGCATTTATGTGGTGCTGATTGTTGCATTTTGTTTTTACATTTCTAAAGTAAAATTTTTGTTATAATAAAAAATTTTTACTTTTGTTGGAATTTGTCATAGTAAATTTTTAAATTATTTTTGGGCTCTGATTATACATTATTTCCTTATATTTGACTTTAAAGCATAAAACAATGCTGGAAAAGTATTTTAAATTGTAATTAGCATTTGTAATTTCATCTAATAAAGCATTTGTGGCCTAATAAGTTAGAGCACTTTGTCTTTTATTTGTAGGATAAAACTGAGTTATCCAATTATGTATTGGCTACTGATCAATAAATGCCTTGAGCATTAGTGGAAAAGTACTCTATACAGAGTGCTTCAATAGAGGTATTCAAAAATACCTTAATTTTAATTTGAATTATCAATTTCTGATAGATTCTTCCAATACATTGCTTGAAGGAAAGATGTTTATCATCCACTATGTGTTCTTAAAGTGGCGTAATATATGTTTTCCTGACTTTCTAGTGGAATAACTTGGCCTCAGAATTATAATTTTTTTAACACATTTGTGTTGAATTTTTATTTTATGACTGGCATTCTTGTTTAATGTCATCTTTTTCAATAACAGGGACTGTTTTTGAAAACACTGTTAAAAAATCAAAGCAACACATTTTTATATTTCAACTTACCTTATGGATAGTGTATAGGTTTGTGGTGCTAAGGTCAGTTTGTCTTCTAACATGATAGTATGGGTTAGCATTTTTCTTTGAAAATTTTGTTTTATAAACTTTGAAACTATGTACTTGATTCAAGAAACACTATATATACAATGTGCAGTTATAAATTGCAAACACAATGGCTACCTTAAATGAGCATTAAGTTCTGTTTGGATTTTTTTGTTTATTTTACTTGTTTAACAAAATAAATTAGTGAAGCAATAGGACCTTTGTCCTAAATATTAACTTTAATTGTATGCATTAAAATACTGTAAGGCTTTTAATTTTTAGTGTGTAATCTAAGAACATTTCTCACTTGAACAACAAAAACCCTAAATAAAAGGATTGTAAATTATGAAAATAATTGTCAGACCATATCAATAGCGGCACTTAAGTAAAAATAATACCATTCTTAAGTATGTACATGACATTCTCAAGGAGCAGATGACGAATCCCAAGTATGTATAAGTCTCAGGGTGGAGGGAAATGGAATTACTGAGAAAATACAATTTGTGAAAATTAGGAATATTAGCAAAAACTTTATCTGTTATATAAGTAAAAATTAACTGAAAATATACATAAAATTTTGTAGCTTTAAAGTTTATTATGATTTGCCCAGAACTGAAACTTATGGTTGGAAAATCTTCATTACCATAACTCTGGTTAATGAGGCTTTTGATTATTCAAGATAGAGATAAGAATATAAGTTCATTTCTTCAAAATGTTAATAGAGGAAGCTTCTCTGAAAGCTTTTGTGAGAAATTCTTTCCTGATAGAAGGATATTGACCTTTAGCAATTTTTTCTTAATCTGTTTTTTTAATACCTGCCTTTTGGAATTTTTATAGCAGCTTGACTGTATGCAGTTTTCTTAACCAAGTCATAATCTTTTGTAATTTTGGTTATCAAGGATAAAGCTCTATATTAACTTTTCTTAATTCCCTAGTATTATTGAGTCATATGGTTCTTCAGTTATCCTGTATTATGAGTTGGTCTGTCTTTACTGCAGTAGCATTCTGTTCAGATGTGTGAAATGGGTGTGCAAAATGTTTGAAAGGTAACATCTGTGAAAAACATTTAAGTGTTGTAAATTGTGTTACAGTTGTTCATTCTACATTATTTAAATGATTATCTTCTCTGTATTCTCAAACCTTATTTTATGCACTTTTGAAAAATACAGACTTAATTCTCCTTTATCAAATAGGATTAATAAAATGGCAGAGCTATGATTTCCAAGGAAAGTTTGACTTAAAAATTCTTTAACATTTCAAACAAGATATTAAATTAGTTCCAAAATAGAGTTGGAATGAAATCTCAAATCTTTGAAAAATATAAATGAGCTATCTGGGGTAGAAGCAGTACTTGATTGCAGATGTGTTGTAATTTGGTTTTATCATTTAAATTATTTTCTTGGGTGCCTGGGTGGCTCAGATGGTTAAGTGTCTGCCTTTGGCTCAGGTCATGATCCCAGGGTCCTGGGATCGAGTCCCGCATCGGGTTCCCTGCTCAGCGGGGAGCCTGCTTCTCCCTCTGCCTCTCTCTCTCTCTGTCTCCTATGAATAAATAAAATCTTTAAAAAAATAAATAAAAGGGCGCCTGGGTGGCTCAGTTGGTTAAGCGACTGCCTTCGGCTCAGGTCATG